CTTTACTATTTTAACTAATCCTTATAAAAAATACCTGTGTGGGTTTAGAAGACATAAACAATTCTGGATTACTAAAAAATATTCATCTAGTATTATATGTATAATTGATTATCATGACATAACTAAAATAGAAAAACCAGATGATTTTTTATATAGAAGTTTCTATGAAAAAAGATTGCTTTTTAAAAAGTATAAAAAGTTAAATAGAACAAAAATTACAAGTTTAAAGGAGTTTTATACTAAAATGAAGAAAATTAATTTAACAGAAGATAAATACATTTATTATGAAATATCTTTTCTTAATGAATTTTCATTTATTCTATATAAGGTATATTTTAATATTTTAATGAGATTATTTAAATATTTAATTAAATATAAAAGGATTAAAAAGTATAATAAAGTTAATTAAAAAACACAAGTTATACTGAAACAATAAATATTGTTTTATATTTTTTTAATAAACAATATAAAAATTATGGAAATAAAAAAATTCAACAAGGAATCAATTGAAGAACATAAAATAGTTTTCAGTGAGAGTAATACAACAACTATAAGCTTCAATTATAATAAGATAAACAGTATATATGAAAGTGTAAAAGAATTAGAAGAAATTATTTTAGCTACTGATAGAATTATAATTGTCAGATTGAAAGATAATTTATCAATTAATACGCGTGATATTACACAGCTAAACACACCATTTTATCATCACATTCATTTTAACAGACAATCCGAAAATACAAAACTTCAAAGCTTTTACTCCCTCAAATTAATGAATTTGACAGAATTAAATAAGATTATTGAAATTGGTGTCAAATGGTTGAATGAAAGTAGTGAGAATAAGATTGTAATTGATACTGATGATATGCAAAATAAGCCAATGTTATTATTTCTATCAATATTTCTTTTTAAGTTAGAAATTTCTAATTCAGTTAAAGATGCATTTTTATATTACATTTTAGAAAATTTAAATTTTAAAAGATTTCTTAATAAAAGTTGCATATCAGCAGTAAAGAGATATTGTGAGTATCATAAAAAACATTATTCTCAAAAAGCATCTTGTTTACTATTAAGACAAATTATTATAACAACAATTCCTAAATTTGTTTCTCATATCAAACCATTTCCTATTTTGGAAGTAACAACCAATAATGGAACAACAGTTATTCCGTGTGATATGACATATTTTGACTCATATCATATGCTAATTTCTCCTAAAAATCTTTCTCTTGATACTGATATAGTATTGTCTCTATTTCTAGATGCAGGTATTATTATTTATAAGATACTTTCAATTTCATTAAATACAACTTTTTATTCTAGAGGTATTTATAGATTTAATAGAAATGAAATTGAAACTAGTTATAGCGATCATGATTTGATACAAAACTTTGATGATGAATTTAGCATCGATCTAGTTTTTATAGATAAAACACAAGTGAATGAAAAATTTAACAGTTTAGTAAAAAGGAATATACAAAAAAATAATGTTATTGATCAAATAAAAAGTATAAAAGAAACAAAAAATTTTAATACATCTGATTGGAATAATTACACACTACCTAAATTTGAATTAACACCGAAAATTAGTAATAAAAAACAAAGTTATACATCCAGTATAAAACCTATAAAAAGTATTCCATCTATTGTTAAAACACCCACCAATAATAAAACAAGTGAAATTATAAAAAAGATTGAAGAGTGTGACCAGTACACAAATATATTTTATGTTAAGCAAATAGCAAATCCTAAAATAAATAATCAAGAAACAAGTAATAAAAACAGAAAAAGGAAAGTTTCTATAAAAAAAGCAATACCTCACAAATTAAATGTAATCATAGATAATCCTTTACATCTTACTCCTATAAAAAATATAGAAGGAACAATATTTGAAGATATGAGTAATTATAACATTTCAATCAACATCCCAAAGTTTGAAGAATTATTTTGTGTTGATGTTTCTACTAAAACTGTTATAAAAAAAGAAACAAATACTAAATCATTTGACATGTTGATAAGTTCTAAAAGATTGTTTTTAGTATCACTTGCAGTTAAATATTTAGAATCAAAAAA